ACTGAGGTTTTGCGGTGGGCTTCCGCTTGCGCTGTCCGTGGTTGGCAGAGCGATTGCGAGACATCGTGAGATTGCGAAAGAACTTTGTCTGAAAAATGTGCTTGATGAGTACTTGGAGTGTCTGGAAGATACATCGTCAATACTATTGGACGAAAGAGCGGATGGGACGTACCTATACGAGAACCTGTCAATGGCGTTTGAAGTTTCGTTGTGCATGATGGATCGAAAGAAGACCAGAGGAGATGGGCAGTTGATGTCCTACGCCGAGATGTACGAGTCGCTGGTGGTCATTCGGCGCCAAGGATGGTTGCCGTTGAGCGTACTTTGTTTACTATGGAAACAGAAAAGGAAATCTCAGACAAGAAGAGTGCTACACGACTTCGTGGAGGCCAGTCTAGTGGAACGAAAGGATGGAGTGTCAAGTGGTCGCAAGATCGCCGGAGTCAGGTTGCACGATTTGCAGCTCGATTACGTGCAACAGAGATGTGGGAATGGGGGAGAGAAGAGGTGGAATGAAAAGCTTGTGCAAGAATGGCAATGGAACGAGAGTGAGAACAGGAAAGAAGCGCCGCCGTGGGTTTGCGGGAGAGGGTGGAAGAAGGATATGGTGGAGGACGAGTATTTCCGACACAACTTGTGCCGCCATCTCAAGGGGGCGCAGCTGGGCGAGGATTTGTGGGATGTTTTGAGTGATGCCAGGTGGGTGGCAGAGAAGTTAACTCGGGCAGAGGGGCTAAATCTTCAAGAGGATTTCAAGATTTTGACGGACGTAGCCGGGGAAGACGGAGAACGGTGCGAAGCGGGAGGCAGGCTGTGGTCGTTGCAGAAGATTGCTAGACAGGCGGGGCTGAGTGCGTCCTTTGTTCGTCGAAGTTCGAGAGAGGTATGGTTTCAGCTGTACGATGGTCTGTTGAGATTCAGGAACGAGTCGGAAGTAATTGGAGAGTTCTTACGCAGGATAGAGGAAGTTGCGGAGAAGCCGTGGTTGAAGTCGCTTACACCTGGCTTGAACGTATCAGGCGCGGTGCAACACATATTTCCGGACCAGGGGAGGGTGGTGGGAATGTCGGGATGCGCAGCTAAGAACGAAGTGATCGCTTGGGGGGGTAATAAGAAGCATCTGTTTCGTCGGACATTCCGGGACGGGGAAATGAAAGAAAACGTGTTGTTTGAAGTGGCATGGGGTGTGAGCAGGTTTTGGTCGGAGAACGGAAAGTACGTAGCGGTAGTACAGGCAGATGGAACAAGCGTGCAGGTGTGGGATATGCATACAGGAGCTACAGCAGAGCGAGTCGGACGGGAAGTGGATGTAGGGCACCTGGGCCGTTGCCCTTTTGACTTGCCTTTTGACTTGACGGGGGATGGAAAGCGAGTAGCGATTGGGGGAGCATATGGTGTGGTTGTGTTGTGGGATGTTGAGAGAGGTGTGAAGATCAAGGGGGCAGCGAATATGTGGGGCCATGTTGTTAAGAAAGTATCGCTTTCACCGGGCGGGAAACGGTTGGCGTGCATGGGAAAATGCGGCTCAAACGTGTCAATTTTGATACTGTGTGCAGAGACAGGGGAGAGGGTTCGGGTGATTGACGTGCCGAGTATTCGACTGTTCGACTTCGATCGGCCCAAGTGGTTGATTTCGTGGTCGAAGAATGGAAAGCGGGTCGCGTGCGTGTTCAAGATGGAACGTAGAAAAATTGAAGGAACAGTATCTGAAGCAAGATTGTGGATCTTTGACGGGGAGACTGGTAGGAGTATCGCGGAAAGCGCGCCTTTGGAAGACGTTCGCTGTCTTTCATGGTCGGAGGACGGAACGCTGTTGTGCTGTGGCGAGGACTGTATCGACGATCTGGGTGTGGTGTCGGTATGGGACGGACGCTCGGGGAAGAGAATATCGAAATTTGATGATTTTCGGGCAAGGGCAATATCTCTGTCCGGGGATGGGAGATGGTTGGCTGCTTCCAGTTTCGGCGGGAAGGTTTCTGTGAGGGACACAAAGACCGGGGCAGAAGTATGGCGGCACATGGCGACACACGGGTCGCATGTTGAGGTCTTGGGCTGGCTAGAAGATGGAAAGCGGATGTTTTCTGTGGATGACAATTTCAATATTGTCATTTGGAGGTGGGATAATGTGGAGAGGGTGCAGGAGGAGGAAGAGGAAGTCGACAAGGTCAACAAGGAAAGGCGAAAATTCACGGCTGTTGCGTGGTCAAGCGATGACATATGTGCTACTGTGGTTGGAGACGGAGACGTAGTGATGTACGATGTGAAGACGGGGAAGAAGATGTGGGGGGATGCTGAGACACACGTAAGCCCTGTGCATTGTCTGGAGATGTCTAGAGATAGCAAGCGGGTGTTTACGGCAGCAGTGGATGGAACGTTTGCGATGTGGGACAGCAAGACGGGCGACAAGTTGTGGGACAGCAAGACGGGCGACAAGTTGTGGGAATGCGGGGAGGCCTGGGCCAAGGATGGTTACGATGGTTACGCAAAAGCATGTTGGTCCAATGATGGGACGAGGGTGTTCGTGTCGTTTGGAAGGGGGATGGGGTTGTGGGACGGGAAGACTGGGAACAAGTTATGGGAGAGAATCACAGACGCCTACATGCATATCAGGTGCCTGGCGTGGGCTGGAAACGACACGAAGATCGCGCTTGGCGGTAGCAATAACGACGGCAGGGTCGTGCTGTTAAGCGCCAGAACGGGAGAGGCGATCAGGGTGGCATGTGGGCATACAGATGGCAGGGTCGTGCTGCGGGGCGCCAAGACAGGAGAGACGATGGGCGATGCCCCCGAACGTGTCCCAGATTCGGTCGGCCTGAAATGGGCTGCGGACCAAGGTCTGCTTGAGTTGTATTCAGACGAATTTGCAGACGAAGTTCACATAGATTGGTTCAACTTTGTGAAGCGGCCCGGGAGAGAAGGTGAAGAAGGTGTGCGGGCTTCGTTCTCTGTTGGGTGGGCTCCGTTCTCTGTTGAGCGGGCTCTGTTCCCTTATAATGGTTCTCCTGTTGCGGTGAAGTGGTCTCCAGATGACAAGTGGATCGCGTCAACTGGATATAATATGGTTGAAATTGATGAAAATGGGAAACCAAGCAGAGGCGGAGTTATGATCTGGAATTGGGAGACAGGTGTAACATATCGGTACCAGCTCTATGAGTATGGTTTACCACGCTATCCGCTGGAATGGTCTGACGACGGACGACGCGTAGCCCTTGGAATTGGAGATGGAATTGGAGAAGAGCTTGCGATATGGGATATTGAGACAGGGGTGATGGTGATGTTAAGGTATAGCACAAACTATAGTGAACATCTAAGGCAGATTGCTTGGTTCCGGGACGGGTCGCGAATAGCGACGTTGGGTACTGCAAGGTTTGGTGGAGGAACGTTGCGAATCCTGTCCGTGACGAGTCAAAGCGCTGTCTGCGAAAAGCAATACGATGATGTTGGGTATCTCGAAGAGAGCGATCTGCGCCAGTTCATCGATACGAATGAGGGCAAACTCACGGCGGCGGATCTAGAGAGGAAACTGGAGAGGAAACTGAGGATTCGGCAAAAGGGAGATGGAGTGTTCTACAAGACAGGAGATGACGAAATCCGCCTAGCAACCGTTGCGGGATATCGTTGGTACTGTTCTACTTCAGGTCGGCACATTGCGATCCAGGTAGAAGCAAAACTGTACTTTTACGAGCTCGTGCAGTAGTGTGATTGTGAGTGTGTGAATAACCACTAGGCAAAAGGGGATGTCCCGGCCAGGACAGGAGGGGTTGTACCCACGGTATATGTAGTAAGGGATGATGTGCCAGGAGAAATTTGTATGTATTTGAAGTTGTTTCTAGTTACCCGACGCCTCGATGCCCCTCTCCGCAAAAAAAGTAGCCGGCACATCTTTTCTATGTGTCGCGCACAGTTGCGTCAGTGTGCGGGGAATAGTGTCGTCCAACGTAGAGACTGCGCGTAGCGAGACCAGCAAACAAAACTGGAGGCGGAACAGGCACATACGATATCAGTCGTTGTAGTACAGTATGAAGTTCAAGATATGCACGGCGGATTTGCGGTGGTTTTCGCTTTGTCAGGTATTAGAAACTTCGTTTCCGCCAGGAAACGAAACCTTGACGACGGTGTTAGCGTTGAGGTTGACGGCATGTGTAGCGTCGAAGACGGGCGGTCGTCGGGAGGCTGTGGCTTGTTGGTAGTGGTGGGGGAGCATGATGGAGCATGAAGAGGTTGTGTGAAATGGAGGTTTTTGGCTTGTTTGGACACGGGCAACTGCTCGTGCACGGACACTCACACATCAATGTGTATTAATGTGTAAGTGTGTTGAGTGTCCCTGTTCCAACCATCTCTTAAGAGATGGTTGGAAACAAGAAGCACTGGGCCGCATGCACCCGACGCGAAAAGTGGAGGAGGAAGAAGACAGGGGTACGGGGATACCGCCGTGGCTATCCGATCAGCATTTGTTTGTGGTTACACCGTCAGGCCAGGCACTCTTCCTTGTGCCTTCCTTGTGCTCGGTGGGATGGCCAGAGACGACATTGTTTCCTGCCGCGGCCATTCTTGCTCGCCGGACATTCTCACTCACCGGAGGTACGACAGTCAGAAACACGTTGCAACCTGAATGTGATATATACATGTATAGTGAAGTCCCTTCTGCAATACATTTCACATACCGTACGTGTACAAAAAATGGCGGGAGAACGAGAGAACGAGTGTGTGTTTTGTTCACCGTCGAGGGCTTGGATGACGTTCCCTTCAGTGAGGATGAGGGTGTCGTCGGCGGAGGCGATCGGGATAGAAAGGGGGGGAAACGAGAGGGCGGCGATGGGAACGGCGGTGCACCGGGAGGGGCGAGTCTAATGGCCATTTCTGAGTTGTGAGTTGCTGCATTTTTCTTTGCTCAAGACCTTGTTTCAATTGAAATGTTTCAATTAAAAAAGCGTTTATATAATTTAATACTGTAGCGCACAAGGGCCGACTCTCAGCACCCGGCGCCTACCGCTACGTGATCAACTTTCCGTGATCAACTTTCCGTGTTGCCAAACCAAAGGCATCAACCCCTCCTCGTCCTTCTCCGGCACCTTGACGCCGTCAATCTTCGTCAAAACAATGTGATGGTCCTGCACATCCTCGGTATGCTCAATCGTGCAACTTGCCGCCACCATGCACTCTTCCTCCAGCCGTGTCCTATCCTCCTTCCCCAACGCAGCCCTCGTCACGTACCGCTCGGCAATGTCCTTCTGCCTTGTCGAAAGCGCGAACAGCCTCACGCCCGCCCCGACCCCGCCGAACCCCGCGTAGAACGCGCTCGAGTGCCCCACATTGAAGCATATCATCCCGCGCGCCGCCGCAGGCACCGTGACGGACGTCGCCGTCATCGCCAGATCCTCCCCGTGGGCCGCGCTGGTTGACACCACCCACATTGCCGACGGCATCTGCCGCAGCAACGTTTTGGTTTGCTTGTCCAGTGGGTAGAACGGCAGCTTGGAGCGCGGTACGTCGAGTGCCACCGCGCGCTTGGCAAGGTACGTGTCTCGGTAAATCGCCTGCACGAATTCCGCCTCGCCTAGGCTCACCGCCGTTACCACCGCCTGTACCACGGCGCACCCGCCCACGACGGAGATGTTCTTCAGCGATAAGTCGGCCGTGACGCCTGTCTTGCGCTCGTCCAGCATCAGTGACGAGGATGATGATGATGACGACGTCGAAGGCCGCGGCGCGAGAAGCTCCACCCTTACCTGGTTGAGGGGGTCTTCCGCGACGAGCGACGCCCTTTTGAAAAACTCGTCATCCGTCACAAATAAGACCACCTGCTCCGGCTGCATGGAGCACCCGCGAAAGGTGTCCAGTTCAATCTCCGCCCCGTCAAACGTGCACCGGTAGTAGTTGGTCACCGTGTGGTGCCCAATGTCACCAACCACTTGCTGCCGCTCTGCGGCGGAGAGGCCCTTCTCATCGCCGGAGCTCGTGGACGTGGAGTTGGGCTCGCTCCGCAGGGCGGGACTGAAGATGTTTGCCGAGTAGAGGCTCTTAGCGGGTGCGTCGGGCCACGTGGCCTCGGCGCGGTCCATGATTGTGATAACCACTGACCGGTATAAGTTATACCGGTCAGTGGTTATCACAATCATAGCATCCCCACCGGTAGTGGTTATAAGTTATAACCACTACCGGTTATAACTTATAACGTAAACCATAAGTTATACCGGTCAGTGGTTATCACAATCATAGCATCCCCACCGGTAGTGGTTATAAGTTATAACCACTACTGGTTATAACCACTACCGGTTATAACTTATAACGTATAACCACTACCGGTGGGGATGCTATGATTGTGATAACCACTGACCGCTATAAC